TTATATATATATATATATATATATGTGGTATATATATATATATATATATATATATATATATATATATATATATATATATATATATATATATATATATATATATATATATATAAATATATATATATATATATATAAATATATACATTAACACCCGCCAAATGCAGGCAGATTTCAGCTTTGGCGGGTTAGACGGTCACTCCCACTAGCCACTTTGGCTGGTTGAAAATAATTTTGAAATTGTGGTTTTCTTAAAAGCAGGGTTCGACTATAAGAATGACCCAATATGCGTGCAAATGTGATCTTAGAATGGAGAAACAGCTCGACTAACAAAAAAAATTGCATTCGCGTGAGCAGAAGAAAGCTGATGAATACAGAATGAGATGATCACTCGCGCTAACAGCTGATGTGATGGGCGCGACTGTTTATAGCGCGTGCGCGCAACTGTTTCCTTCCTTGAAGCACACGTGCCTGGAACGCAACTGTGATCGGATCTCTTTCAAATAGTCAGACAAAAAAGTAATGCTAATGCACACAGTCTTGCTGATTTCAAGAGCTCCAAATATGTCTTTTTGTAAACAGCACCGGTTGCTTTCGCTTTGAGCAGATTATTAGTTGGCCTTAATCCATTATCACACAGTATTTTTAAAAGTCAATTGCTTTTCTTTGGTTTTTTGAAAGAAATGTTTTGTTAAATAAAAAGTATAGTATACAGCTATATTTAGCTTGTTTGACACATTTAAAATTTGTGACTTAGAAATCATTTTTGTTTGGTGTGGTCAGAGATAAATTAGGTAAATCCTTAATTTTGAGTTCTGAAAAGTCATGTGAATGAAACCATCACCCATTTGCTCATACACGGCACACAAAACGTGAAATGAATGGGAAGGCATGTGGACATAACAAAAAATCTAAATCAAGTAATTTTAGCATGTCGAAGTCATATTTATACATATAAAAAAATATTATCCTAACAACAAAATTGTGGCTAGTGAAAATGCAGAGTGGCTAGTAACGTTGGAAAACTACTAGCCACTGCGACTGGTGATCAAAAAAGTTAATGTAAAGCCCTGTGTGTATATGTATATATATATATATATATATATATATATATATATATATATATATATATATATATATATATATATAT